GTTTTATTGTTAATCTTTAAATAAAAGTATTTCATATCTTCAAACATATAAAGCGTTGAGTGATGAATAATGCAGACTACCAAAGTGTTACCTAGCACAGATTTCCTTTATTCTGTCTGCCCGGAGTGTTCAAGTTAGAAATAAATAATTCAACGTCTTATCTCCACTTAGGTGTCATTGATATCCACCACAAAGGGTATTTTCAAGTATCTGAGCCTGCTGAAAAAAATGGATACACGAAAATCGTTTGAGACGATTAGCAAACCAAAGGTTTATGTACATCTTATTGATCAAAGTTTCTGTAAGAAGTACCTGGAATTGTTTTGCCTAGTTTCTGTGTTAACAGTATTACCTTCTTTCACTAAATGTCATACGCTGTCTGATCTTCATTTTTTAACCATCCCATGTCATATAAAAAACCTGTATTTACTACTTCAATTTTTATTTAGCAATATCATATTATTTTTCGTATTGACTACAGCCTCTTTGTTTTTGGTCAAATGAGCATGCTTAACTTAGTTTCGGTAATTATCATACTATGCAAACCCACAGTATATATATATAAATATATAATTTGGATTTCCTTCACTAAGCAACATTGTTGTTCTATATGTCATTCCAATGTTTCACATTTTTGAAGTCAGCTTATGGTGGAGTTTTGTTCTCTGAGCTGGATGTTTTGGTTGTGGAGCTTTCATTATTCTTTTGAACAGGAACATCAATACAAACCTCAGATAAAAGTCAGTTTGTATTATTTGCTTCCTACTGGACTTTTTAAACGAGAAACGATTGAGCTGTATGAAAATGATTTGGAAAAACTTAATCATTTAACGAATACTGTTAGTATTTCTATCTCTGCAATTTGTATATTCCTCATTACTGATTGTTAAATTGTATTGAAATTGTATTGTTAATTCTCTCTTACTAATACACTTTTTCAACTGAAAACTATTCCGTAAATATACCATAATTAGGTTCTCACTCTTCATCCTCAATTACATTGATGCTAATTTGCCACGTCACTGATAAACTTGATGCTTATATTTTCAAATTTTTGAAACCATGAATCGATCAATGTTAGACCACCATTAGAAACCTGGAATGACTAGACGGCCGTTTCGTCCTGGTGTGGGACTCCTCAGCAGTTGATTTTTCAATCCAATTCGAATGATACAATATTGGAAAATCTTTGTGTACATTTCATGATTACAACTTACTAGATTAAAAAGAGCCGTTTCAATACGAATATAAATATTTGATGGAAGTTATACTATTTCTTATCTCTCGTTATAATATTGTTGTTTGAAACTTTTCATAAGTATTGTGATCATTTATTCAATTTTTTCCTTTAATTCTGCATAATATACTATAGATATTTACACTGTGAAAATATCTGAACTTGCTTATTTTTAACATCTATAATCTGATTACATTTAATAGTTTTCTGGATTGAAAAGAAGGCCGATTAAGTAATTAACCTTCAGCACTGAGTCGATTTCCAGAATAGACAACAAAAACAGAAGTTAAAATGCTTACTATCATTAATAACTTCACTAAATAATGGATTCTTTTTATTTCAAGTGATTTGAGGATAATCAATTTATTGCACGCATGACTGCAGTAGGATAGAAAAAAAATACTTGAAATCCAATTTCTCTGTCTGGTCAGTAATAAGATTGGACATTTTTCATAGATTATATTCAATGATTTACAAAAATATATATTTCGTGAACTATGTATTTTTGTTATGATTAACAAAATACATTAAGATCGCAAATGGTAAGAATAAATATAGTTATACGCAATAGATATGTTTTCACTTTGACGAATTTTCAACTTTTTTCGCATTGACTAAGTTATTTAAAACTTAACAAACGTTTACTAATTCTTGACTATTGAATTGATCCATGTAACTAGCACTTTTAAATTGCAATACTGTTTAGCTGAAGAATTATATTTACTTCTGTAAATGCAATATAATTTAGTCAAGAATATTTTGAAAATTCACTATACTCAAATTCGAATTTTGATAAATTCTATAATTCAGCAACTGATTAATTCATTTAAACATCAACTTGTGAAATTAGTCTAAAAACAGCCGTCTAAAAAATAACGGAAAGGAGTTCAAATGACGGAATCTACCGATAAGTAATGCATCTATTACTGTTTTAATGAAATTTTCTTGATTAGTTTAAATAAATCCAGATTAATATGTCTTAAAAATCAAAACTAAATTCATTATTTAACACTATTTATTGTAAATTTTAACAGTATGTTATCCTTCAAAATTTGGTATTTAAAATGATATTTCGAAAACAATACCAAAATAACTTGATCAAAATTAATTTACTCGGTATAGTCAAGTGATCTAAAAATGCATCTGTTGAATTGATTTGCACTTGTTTCATCAAAAAGAATGTACCGGGTAATGACATTCAGTGAGGATTGCAGTCGTTATCAGTCTTGTGTTAATCTAACATGAAACTCTCGAAAAATGATTAAAATGGTTACCTATCTAACCCTATGATATATAACCTGAAGTTGCCTGGAAATAAAATGTTTTTAGATGTCATCCAACATCATTTACTTCTTTGAACAATTTTATAATTGGTATGATATACAGTTTATGAAATCATAAACTGATAAATTACTCTGATTTCTAGTCCGTTTTAGTCAAGGATGAATGTGGCTCAGAATACTAGGAAAAAGGAAAAGTCTAGCATTCTTCTCCATTATAACTGATTTATTTTTTTTTCCAGAGGAAATGACTCATTAGCGTCAAACAATGATCGTAAGTACACCGACACTCTATCGGATGATTTACACAGTTATCTGTATACAAAACTGCATCGATTTTTCTCTGGTGATTCTCAGGTGTTTAATTCCACAACTCTAGTACGATTTAAAGAGCAATATTTTGCATACAATTACCTACACAAAATTTCAGAAAATTAAACCTGTTTACAGAAAAAGTAGTCCGGGATTATTTCTTAGCATTAAATAACTCGAATTACTCAATACGTTTATTCTATTGATCACTAACAGCTATCCCAACTGCTATTTTACATATTAGAAAAATGGTAACAAATATAACTTTTTCAACTGTAAATGTTAATCTAGTAAATTACATCATTTCTAGTCAGTAGTTACGACGATATGAGAAAAAGATTGAGGCACATGGAACTGAGATTAATTTCTATAATAACCATGACTGTAAAACGTTGTCTATTCTTCAAGTTGACATGTCATGGAGAGTTCTCCTTTGGAGGACTGGTCAGTCTGCCAGAGAAAAAGAAAAGACAAAATTGAAAGATATTTTACTGATATGTAACGTAAATAGCACAAAAATCTTAATAAAAAGTATTCAAAGATCAATTATCTCGGAAATGAGACTAGTGTTGTTGTTTATCATCAAGTAAAAAACTACCAAATTTAAACAGTGTAGATCATTAAATATTGACTCATTCGTCTACATTTTTTTGTTGTGTTCTTAAAATCTTGATTACGGTCCTCATAACTTAGGATTAAAGAGCTTTGAACTGGTTCTTTAGTTTTTCACAGTTATAAATATTCTCAAACTAAAAATCTTGCCGAAAATTTCAGACTTTTATGGTGACTTGTGTATTAACATAAAACGTCCAAATGTGTCCCATATCAAGACATAACAGCTGCCTAGTGTTTTCTAATTTCCGACGGTTATTTGATCACAAGCCTATATGTAATTGGAAGCTAGAAAGAGTCTTAACTTTTTCGAATTTAGTATTATCTGGTATCTTAATTTACAAGTGAATACCATAAAATTACCATAAAGTTCATGCAATTATTCCTCACTATTAGGAATTTATAAATGAATATAGCTACCACTTCAGCTGAAAAACAGGTTAAATAGAAGATCCAACATAAATAAATCGAAAACTACAATAATAATAACTACAATAATAACTATGAAAAAAGATATTTTCTTTCAACAGTGTTACTCATCATGGTTACTAAATATGTTAGAAGGAATTAAAGTGTTAATATGCTAAATCCTTATTTTGTGTTGATAAATAACCAACATCTTACTTTTAGTATGCGAATTCAATCTCATTGAGATTATGAATGCTTATTCACCAAAAATGCAAAATGCATACAAACTAGGTCTAACACTTTCGTTTAGGTATATGTAAGAAGCATTTGAGACCCAACCACCCTTCAAGTAAAACCGGATATACTCAATAAATTGAATAAGTAAGCTTCGAATAGTATTAGCATTTAGAATATAGAACCTTTTGAGTGGTTCAGCATGTAACTTTCATCTACGCTTTAAATAAAAATCAACATATTTTAGTGATAGACTGAAAAATTTTTTAAGCCTTTTCCTTCGAAGCTCAACATAAATTCAGCTACCTAAATCGAATACAAAGTGGTATGCGTCAGTCACATTCCACATTTTCATTGACGAATCCAGTTCATGATCAAGTATGAATTTAATAAATTCTCTTGTACTTTTATTAAAATCTTAAAAATTGTTATCTTCATATTCTAATGTCTAGAGTTTGAAGAGAAGCCAGTAACGTATTTTCGTATCTTCGTGATTTTCATATCAGATTAAAACATATAAAGATGACATTTTTCCTAGTAGAAGCAACTTGAAAACAAGTAGTAACAGAATAAGGATAAAAAGAAAATTTTCTATCAATAATAACTTGAAACATCGGATTTTAGTCAGAGAAATCGTTATAGTTGTATTTTGTTGAGATATAAAGTTACTGTTATTACAACAAGGCATACAATACAATTTGTATTGTGGTTGACTGAATCTTCGCATTGATGTTTAAGGCTGTAATTGATCAGTCCCTTCAGCATTTGTGCATTCTATGCGCATCGCCTCCATAATGTCTTGAGGTTACAAACATTATTAATAGACTATGAATTCATAGGCTTTTTACAGTTTCCTTACTTCGTTAATATTTGCATAATTCAACAAATTCTATTTTATTTTTATTCATTAAAAATGGTCAAGACTTTGATGATGACTTACTATCAGTAAAGTGGTTATCTTTTTGATATCGTATCTGTTGCTATTTTATTTAGATTTACAAAAGCGGTAATCTAGTCTGTTATTTTAGAATAGTGTGAGTGACAACTTATGTGGAAAATATAAGCTGCAATCAGCAGTGTATTTAAAAAAAATTATCGTTTGTTTAGTTCAGTCATGATTAGTTTTCAGTGAGGATTCTTTTTAATCACTATAAATCAATTTCTGACCCTTTTTCAATTAATTTTTAGCCAATATAATCTTCTTGTTTTCTTTCTTTCATCACGTACAATTGGGTTTTCAAAAATCAATGTGTTCAAACCTCTGTTCGTTCGAGTAATATTTTCAAATTCTATAAATTCTTAGTTAATCATGTTAATAAAATAGTATTAACAAACTTTATGTAAAAATTCACAGTAAGTAATAATAGGTCATTGTACACCTAGAATTAAGGTACATACCTATCACTGTTAAGCAAACTTCCTGTTTTATCTTTCTTAAGAAACTTATGTATTATTTTCGATGAATTTTCAATTATCTTATTCTTGTTTTCCAAAGTAGATATGTTATAAGATATTTCTTTGTTTGCTCACACTTTGGATAACTTTGTATCCTCATTCTAATTTTTAGAAAACATTCAATAAATTTCATAAAGTTTCATCAATGAGTGATAACCTTAGTTCAGCAACCAATATATCTCTTACCAAAGAAGTTCCTTTACGGATAATCATTTTAGTAGTTACGTAACTGAAATATCGTTCAAAACAAGCTATTATAATACTAATGAACGGTTTCAGTGATTGGTTGTAATATCCAACTTCGGTTTACCTATCCATAAGTAAAATCTATTATGATCACTCTCAGTATTTTAATAATATTAGATGTAGTTCGGACTTTGCTCAATCGATAATTCAAAGATATTTAAAAAAAATCAGTTGATGTTGATAATCAGAAAAAGCAATCTATGAAAAAATTTTCCTAGTATTTGAAATATACGAAAGGCTTCAAAGTTTGATTGTATTCATTTACTTTATTTTACAATAGACGAAAAGCAGTTCTCAGAATGAAATTTCCATCTAACTTACCTTATTTTTGCTTAGTCCAAGGAATCCAAATCGACGTTGCAAAAGTGCACGAAACTTCGGATATCTGAAAGCATAAATACATGGGTCCCATAAGGCTGCCGTTTTCGCAAACAAACATGGTAATTCAACCATTACTGGTGTTATGTAATCAGAGTAACCAATAAGAGCTATGAAACAGACAGCGGCATATGGGGTCCAACATAGAGAATAAACGCCTAACAGTATAGCTGATGACTTTAATACAAAAGTATCTGATTTTGTAGATGCTGCAATAAAATCAAAAGATACCAGTTATAAGTAAGATTGGTGAAGATAAAACAGTGTATATGTAGTATGATATACATTCACTTATAAACCAATTTGTATTATATATATATTCAATATAATTATATAAACATCCTAATTTTACACTTGTCTATGTAATTTAGTTTAGTAGCAAGCAATGTTAAAAGTTATATTTATTGGTAGGTTATCTTGTGTAATGTTCCACTGTGACTCGATAACGAAGAGTCAAACATACAGTATGAGAAGTTCACAAAGAGTGATCACAACTTTTTAGTCAAAATTAGATCATATTTGATGTTATTTTTGAGCAAAAAATGCATTACTAATTGATCAGGATATAGTGCAACATATCCTTCAATAAATCTGTGTTATTTCTACTTGTATTGTTATTATCACTTTTTAACTTTACTACTTTAGTATCAACTTTAAATACAAACAGTCCATAAATGTTTTCATTGAATAATTAATCTATACGTTTAGTTGAAAATAAAGTTCAGTTCACTTACATACATTAGCACCTTTTTCTTTTTGATTAGTACCTTTGGAACTTGCTGCCATTTCTATAAAATCTTTACCTCGACTTCTTACAATGAGAATAATTCTTGAATAACAGAATAGTGACAAAAATAAAGGGCATAAAAAACCGAAACCAAATAGTCCAACATTGAATAATCGATTGTTCAGATCGGTAGATATGTAATCCATAGTGCATGATGTTTGATATCCTTCTGTTACGTAACGTCCTAAGTAAAGAAACAAAACATAGGCCGCTGTAAATTAAATCCTTTTAAACACTATGATGCATAATAACACGTTTGTTTATGTACCTTGAACAACTTTCCTAATTAATTTCAAAGGTATATTAGATTAACTTTGTCATACTAGATATCTTTATAGAAATCGAGTGATGGATAACATAATAATTACTGACATAACAATCATCAGATCACATATCCATACCTGTCGCTGTTGTTTCCTGTGTTCAAAAAAAAATTAAGTGTTTGGAGCTGAGTTTACATTCGAAACAGACTAGATTAAAACAATAATACTACGGTTGCCTATAATATTTCTATTGCTTAAAGTTTTTGGTCCTCGCTCCATTGTATAATGTCTAAAATTATTTGAAACCTAATTGACAGTACCAAACTATACTGCATGACATTATATTTATTGATGATAAGATTCTAAATTACAAATTTAGTGTTTGCCGTATTAGAATTTAAATGTTAGACATGATGTACGTTAACTGTTATGCACAATTAAGTGAAGCTTATAATATCTTCAATGAAGGTAATTTACTGCTTGAAAATATCATAACCGTCAAGTCTAGTGTAAATCTTCATAACTGGATGGTAAATATTCATTGTTACGAAAATGCATTGCTTGTGTGAACTGAATAAAATAATTTGCAATCATCAACCATTGAAAACAAACAGAAGTAATTGTAGTAAATAAAAATCTTGTTGATGGCGTAAAAACCATTTTATTGTTATAAATATTATTATTATTACTAATTAATGAATTAATTAACAGTGGATACTTAAAACATCCTTGATTATTTTCTACAAAGAGCTAATAATGAGAATCCATAGACTTTAGCTAAAGTGTTCACTTTCAAGATTTTTAATAAATCAACTGAATCAATAAATTAGCTATGTATCGCTTACCAAATCCGAAAAGCGGTGGAATTGTCCAAATAAGAGACCACAACCATAAAAATAACATTAACAATAATGTACGTCTAGGAGTTGTCTGAAATACACTTTCAAATGGAGTTGCGATAACTAAGTAGCGATCCAGTGCTACAGCGGCTATTGTAGATAAGGAAACAAATCCGAAAAGTCCACCAGCCAACCCATAAATCTCACATGCTTTATTGAGGATAGAAAAAATATCAATGATCTGTAGTCAAACAAAAATAAACTGAATAATATACTCGGAAAACGATTGCACAAGCGAACATCCATAGAATTATATTGAAATTTATTAACCTTACAGAATTTTATATACCCTTCAAATAAAATGTGCTAATTTAAGGTAAATAGGAACAGCGTTTTGAACTTCTAGTAGCACTGAGTTTATTCCTTTGTTTCTGTCCATCATCCTGGGATATTACCAACTAAGGATTTAAAGTAAAATCACTGTTTAAAAGCATTCATGAAATTGTTGTTTGAATATTACAATTGTTTGAATACATCCTGGACACCTTTTTGGTTACTACCAATCCCAAGATCGGCTTAAGCAAAAGTATCAGATGTAGATTTAGCATCTACACTATCCAAAAACAATACCTTACCGTAACACTAATCAGAAAAAATCATTAAACCGAATAAACTCTCTGTCAGTTGTCAAAGAACCTTCATATAGAAGAGTTATGACGTCAGTGATTAGCTACGTGAGGAAATTCTCGGAGTTCTAGTTGTTAAGACGTGACCAATGGAGTTCAACCCTGTCGGGTGTAGACATTAACTACCAAAGACAAACGAGTGAGGTCGCGCAAAATCCCTAGATAAATCAGAGTTAGAGATTAACACCGTTGGATTCCGGCCAGTGGTCCGATGGTTGGGCGTTCGCGCACAATACCGAAGGTCCCGGGTCTGAGTCCTGCGGGGTGCAGGAGTCGTGGATGCGCACCGCTGATGAGTCCCATACCAGGACGAAACGGCCGTCCAGTGCTCCCAGGTTTCTAAGATTGATTGACTGATGATTTCAAATGTGTAAAAACACAAATCTCCGAAACTTTGCCCGAAAAAGTCCTTTTAAAACCGAGGAAATAATTAACATAGGGACATGAGATGTTCATAAAATGTTAGAGACCGAAAGGTCAAATTAATGAGAAGAAATGTCCTGACGTTTTCTGGAATAGGTAAAACTTATTGAGTGCAATATTGTAGTCATGAAGAAGAAAAGATTCTACACATATGGGGAAAAATGTCACAGAGTAGATCTCAGAGCTTCCAAATACATGGTCATTGTTGACACCATTCTGCTCGATAGATGTGTGCAAAAAGTTTCATGGGTTTCGTTCTAACGCATTATAGAAAACCGGATCAACGAAATCTTCATAATTACAAATTCAGAAGATTAATCGAAGATGTAAGAACAAAGAGAGGATTTGATATATCTCCAGATAACCACATCATAATGGCCACGCTAAACCTTAGGACAAAAATGTATTAGACAGTTGGGCAAGAAGCACAACCAAAGGTTAATACGGCTTTTGTGAATGCTAAAAATACATCGAATTCAACATTACTCTCGTCAATAAGTTCAAATACATAAAAGATATACGTGAAGATGAAACCACTACTGAGATCTAACAAAGGAAGTTAAAAACTCCATAACTTAAACATACCAGGAGATACTGGCCTTCGAGAAACACTAGCATGAAAATGGATCTTTTGACAAAATTCAAGTTAAGTGAAAAAAGAAGATAAGCGTCAACAACAGCTTAGGGGGGAACAAAGAAAATCAAGATGCAGGTCAAAAACAAGGAAGAAAACAAACAAGTAAAGATATTCATCTAGGCTGGCATGGAGAAATATATAAAAACTTAGTGACCGCAGTAGGAAACGTTGAATGAAATTGAAGTATGGACCGGAAAGTATACCACGTGAAACACTAAAGTCACCTATAGGAGCATCTGGATAGATGTTTGGCGTTCTCTTCAGAATGATTTATACGGAAGAACAAGTACCATTGAGCTGAAAGGAAGAATACTTAGAAAAGATCATGAAGAAAATGGATCTTAGTGAACATGGAAACCTCAAAAGGATTATACTATTGACAGTTGCAATACTAGCGCCACTTTTGACAAAGTTTAGGCAGTTCTGTACACACGATACTAGGCATTCACGAACCAGAACCATCAGCAATAATGTTATGCTTGTCACTTGCTCGTCACTGACAGAGAACAATCAACTACTGGCTGAGAAGGTGATTGAGAAGAAATGAAGAAGATTGGTAGAACACTTTTAAGAGACCACTGCATTGTATAACAAGAAATATCCGATAGGTAATAGACAGTTCAGAGAACACTTGGAGCAGGGCCTAGGTAATAAGCATCCAGGCCATGAATAAGAGTTAGCAGTTACTATTACCCAAATCCGCTTTAATAAATAACCTATCGCTCAGGACACCTGCTGGTCAGATTTTCTCAGTGAACTTAGGCTTAATTTCCGTCGTATAAAGTTTCATTTGTCAGGATAGTATAACTAGCAAAATGATCGACTGAATAGTAAGATGAGTCAAGCAGGGAACAGTGACACTGGTCCTTCTTAGTAGAATTTCAATGTAAATCTAAATGGTCATTTTTCACAATAAAAATACCAGAGGTTTGTTTTTTGGTTTTTCAAAAGTAATATACGAACAGTAACTTTAGTTTCCTAGATAAAATTATTCTACGAATAATTTGAACTGCTGTTGACCTTTAAAATGAATTGTTATGATGACATAATGGGTTTAGAAATGAGAATATGATGACATTTGGAAGGATTTGGAAGGATTCCAAAAATATTCTGTTTTCCTACATCCTTATTTGTTTAGACATCTGTGTTTCGTTTCTCCATTTTATTAATAAACAGCTACGTAGTGTTTATTTATAACAAGCCTATGTATACTCATGAATGGTCAGCTATTTCAAGTGATTCCTTATTCCATGAACTTAATAAAGAGTGTACTAATACATCCGATTTTCGAGCTGGTTGTTAATACCATGATAGTGAACGTTTGGTTTTCAAAGTTGTACGAGTGTGTAACACATTAAAACAATAAAATCTGGAATATCATTTTAATTTACTTTGCAAATAGTATACTAAAATAACATTATCACACTCTGTTCTAAACTTTTGGGAACTTCTATTGATGAAAGAACAGTTATAATACTTTGAATAATTAAGATAGATAAACATAGCTTTGCAATAATGTGCAATCAACATTGACAGAACTATTCCTTTGCTTGATAAACAAATCATCAATAGATTTTCAATTGACGGGAGATCCAGCTAACAGATATTTCATCTAAATTTAGACTCACTTATCAGTACATGTTATAGACGTCATCTCACGTCTTTTTAACTGATAGTTAATATCAACCAAATGTTTGCTACTACATATAGCAAAACTGACGAACTCGAATGTCTAGCTTTTGTCTATGATTCTGGGCTGCTTAAACTTAAATTCGTTAATTACACAGAGATTTAAACACTTTTTAAATAAGGTGTTGCAAATGCGAGATTTTATTTCTCATCAGTAGTCTGCAAACATCTGAAATCGAGCTAAATGAGCCTCAATACTAATCTATTTAGTTAGCTCTGTATTTAATACACACATAGTGTTCAACATAAATGATAAAATAATTTATTAATAAAGGTCAACTGACAATAACTAAAGAATTCATTACTGTGCATAACTGTAGTTTACTCTTTTACACATATCCAGATTGAACATACTATACATACGGCATGTTATAATACCATAATATTTCCTTGAGAAAAAAATTAAAACCAGTAAATGTGCTATCGTTTAGCCTATTAAATCTATAATAATGAGTGGTAGCTGCCTGGTACATACGGTCATGGTAGCCGTCACAACTCGCTATTATTCGGGTTTGACCAGTGGAGATATCAATGACTACAATAAACTTACCAATTTTACCCCATGGCCAGAAATTATTAAATGCTGCTATAGTTTTTAATGGAAAGCCATTAACCGCTGAAAATCCAAAATCTGATATTGCTAAATTTACAACAAGAATATTAGAAGGTGTTCTAAGAGCTTTAAACCTTTGACAAAAATAGAAAAAAGGGAAAATAATTTTCGGATTAGTTCTAATCTCAATAGATATTGAACATTGCATGTTCACACACATAAACAAATGCATTCTACAATTAATTACCATTACAAACATTTGATCTGACTGTTTTTAGTTATTAAAATTGTAATGTGCGCGTAAACAGCATAAAAATGATCGAAAAAGTGAATATCTAACGATGAAATCCAAGTGTTCTATTGAAATTGACCACCTTGTGTTATTTTATGCAGATGTACACAATCAGAGGAACGTACCATAGAGATAGTTTAGTTTGTATGAATAAGGATGTTCATGCTAATTTCACATTATTTTTTAATAAAATTCAGTTTGCTTGTATATATATATATACATATATATATATACATATATATATATACATATATATATATATATATATATATATATAATTCAATTTTACATTAGTTTTAGCAATGTGCAAATACAAAACATTCAAACAGACTGTTTAATATAACTGGTAATCAGATAGTAAATATTTACTTGAAATTACTTAATTTTCTGAAGGTGTTATTAATGTGTAGTCCTTTTCGAACCAATCTATTTACATAAATGTTTAAATTATTTTTATTGAAAGTCAAATACTGAAAGTTGATCACTTCTAAACTCCAGTTCAATCTATTTTTCTGAGAATCGATGTTATGATAAACTGTTAAAAGATATATTTTGTCATTTTTGCTTCACAAATTACTGTGAAAATAAATTGGTTATTACAAGAACAATTTAAAAAGTGTGTATTCGGAAAAATCTCTTAGTAAATATTTACTATTTACTGATAATCAGACCGGAGATAGATGTTACAAACTTCTAGTTATAATTAAGTAGCGTAGTTTCTTTACGTATCACTGAAGAGGTTTACAGGTGTTCTTTTTTTGAACATCTGTAATCCCTAGTCTCAATCTCTCGTTAAATCGTTAATAGTCAGATATGAAAGAAAATATTTTAATTATTGGCAATATGTAACTTATGGTTCTTTGTCTGTTAATATAATAAATACTTCAAAAATTTGAGAAATCAAACATTAACTTCAGCAAGTAGAATCTCTTAATTAGGTTACAGTTACTCTATAAATTCCGTGACTATTTATCATCTATAAACTCACATCAATCATATTCGTTAGGTGATTAGTTAAATTCTAGAAATCAGTTCTTATCATATTGATTTGGATTAAGTCTCACTCAATATTGTGGAACATTTACAAAAACTAAATGTATCTCTTATGATTGGATTAAACATTTGCTAAACTGTTCTGTGACCTTTCATAAATTCGTGGATATAAGACTTCATACTTATTCATCTGATTGCAACAAAAGTTCACCTAATTTTTATGAAAGAACTCGTCGATATTTATTTTATTCATAGTTTTTCATACGTATTAGGCGATTGAACGAGCACTTTAATTTTTAATGTTGCCGGACGGGTAGACAATAAGTATTTATAGAATATTTTAGTATTTCCATGAATAATAAAACATGAGCTTGCTTAATCTTTGTTTCTACAGCCTGCTGTAAATAATTTGCTATTGATAACACTATTGTACGTAAGGAAGCAATTTATTCAATTGTCCACTTGACTTTAGTTATTTTGTTTAATTATCTGCCCCTTTTTATTTTCATTCCGAATTTCCCATCTAAATTTGCACTAACGGTTTTGTTTCACTGTTTCATTTTTATTATCAGGGTTGCTTCTATCCATATTTCCTTATTCCCATCCCTAAATCTTCATTTGAATTTAACAGTACTGAAAGTTACTCTCTTAAATAAACATTGCTTATGCTTCAAAAATCTCCTTCTTAAATAGTTATTTATTCATTACAAACAATATATAATCGAAATTCACATATAGCCTGGTCAAATTATAACACTAAAAATTTATTTATCGATCTATAAATTATCACATATATGATTAAAATTACAGTATTGAAAGAATTCCTCTTCAGAATAAACTGTTTTATAAAATTTATCCCTTTTTATTCAGTGATAAATCTGATTACCTATCAGACAAATGAACAATGTTATCTGAAAATAATTCGTTTAAACTTACATTGTAAAAAATATGATGACTAATAAATTAAGGCACACACCAGCTATCCCAACAACAGCAATGAATAAACCTATGGCATATTGATAGTATGGATTTGGTTGTTCAAATTTATGCCAGTAAGGTAAGACAATGCTGTCGAAATCTTTCATATATGGTCTTAACATTTCAATTGTCCGATTGGAAGACATATTTCAACAACCCTAAAAAGAAACATCACACAAATCTTTACAACATACAATTTACAAATTATTGGGACGATCTCATTTTGCAATAGGTGGTTTCTGAAAATATGCTCAACTTTAAAATACGTTTCACTGCAAACAGATGTTGCTTGAAGAACTAAAAATGTCATCAAAATTAATTGGAACACATTCATTGTAAATAAGATAAAATTAAACTATTGATTGGCATTGCGTGATAAAAATTGCTCTAATGACTACGAAACGTGTTCATTGATATGGAATCACTCTTAAAAGGCTTATACTGAAAGAGATTTTTAAAGTTTTTTTCAGGAATCTAACTAATCAAGATACGTGCTCAATAACGGTATCAGAGAAAGACAGTTTCACTATACAGCGAGTCTGATTCGGTTTATGTTAACATGGCATCGTGCCGAGAGCAATAGGTCTTGTTTCTATACCATGCTGAACATGAAAAGTCTCCAACTCCAATAATTAAACCATTAGTTAGTTAGTGAACCTCGGTGGTACTTAAAGTTGTTTTAAGCTACAATCCTTGACAAACTAGCAATTCTTGACTGAGCAGTCAACATGAGTATTTGTTTTATTCTGTTACAAAATATCGTAAAGGGCTGTTGAAATCATCCAACAGAATGAAGCAACAACCAGGATTACGAATAACAGTAAATATATTTGCTTCCTACTAAATCTTATTGTATCATGAAATAATTTGACCATGCGTATTAAAATCTACTGTTTTAACTCGTAAGTGAGAAATTACTGATTGACATAAAAATAGAGAGCTGTGTGATTTACAATAAACATTTAACAATCTCGTTGGCGTTTTGAAGCGATCTAAAAGCTACTCATGGTACCACTATGATACTTTACGAAATTCTCCGTTTCTAAACAAAATATAATCCCACATTTTTGTACAAGTTGTTAACAAATTCCAGCACGTAGCACTAAAATATAGTGATTGTTAAAAAAAATGTGACATAATCGAGCCGCAGTCGGCGTTTGATTTTAGTAAATAAATTTTAATGCATCCAAATATTTATCGATTTTTGTAATCTGTTTTTACCGAAATCTGTGCAATGGGGAATTCGATTGCACACAATGTGAGACGGGTAATTGTGTAGTGTTAGTCTCATGATAAATGTGATGCCGAACAATGCTCTGAATTTTATTTCCAAAGTGGCACCCAAATAAGAGATTTAACAGATTAGTTTTAACTTGTGACATTTTAATATGTTATTAAAAATAATTTCAAAGTAAACATTGTCTTAAAGGCATTCAGTGATCTGAGTAAACTTTTACAGTCACATTATTTTCCATGAATTTTTATTGATAAAAATAAAAGTAATATTACACATTTACTGATACTAAACATTCTTTTCTGTAGGAATTCTTATGCAAAAGTCCTCATCCTAATTTTTCTTTAATTAATCCGTAATTTAATAGCTGTTTAAGTTAGTAAAATTAACTCGTATAACCAAAGTGAGTTATAGGCCTAAGGAAAATATTTAGTAGAAGAAGATACTTCACCTAAGCATTGTAGCTTTTTTATTCAAAGATGCAGTGAATGCGATTGAGTGTATTTGGAAATGTATTCACTCACTTACACTAGTCGATGGACAGATCACACTTACTCGCCAAGAGAATGCTAATTAAACTAGAAATTCAATATAAAATTGTGTGTCATACTTGGATATACCCTAACCGAGTTATTTGTTAGTCATTCACCTATGAAATGGTGACACAGTTAGGACATACACAAAACATTATTATACCCAATAATATTATCAAACATAAATTTTCGTCATTTATTTGTACCACGCACGATTAAATTCGAATTCAAATGTACAGAATTAAAAAAGTTTAATGAAAGTACGGTATTATGGGTCATAAGTTTGAAAAGTATTCCTGGTAATTAAAATCCAAACCTTTGGGTCTGACACAACTCTTTTTATCGTTTATATGCTTATCTGATTGCTTTTAGTTTACTTAATTATTGTAACAAAATTTATTTTTAATATGTAGATAAATAGTAGATAAATAAGTGCATTGGTTTCTAACAATTGATCTGTCTTTGAAATTATCTGAACCACTGGTTATTGACCTGGAATTCGATTCACTTGAAGGTTGTTGAGCGTAATGAAATACAGTTTATTATCTCTTTAGTTACTCCATGTATTATATTTTTATAGCGATTAAATTACTATAGAATTCATGGATTTTTTTCTTATGCATATGTAGACAACATGGTAACAGATTATCCTCCCAATTACTTTATTGTTTGGAAAGATTATTTCATCTGTTTACTAATGTAAGAAATAAATTCGTCAAATGAACTTTAAAATGATTGTTTTTCAAATAGTTATGTAAACAGACGAGAATATCACAACACTTGTTTACTTCAGTATACTATTCTCTTTTCTATCTAATATTATCAGACTATTAAGGTCGCATTTATAGAACAACCTTAGAAATAATACAAATAACTTGAAATGCTTATTTCTTCCGATGAAAATAACTATAATTTCAATCTTAAGTTTGAAATCAAATTTCTTATCTGGTAAATAAATTCACCCATGAATCTGTTTTTATGAAAACAAAGACAATGATATTACCTTGGACTTATAACAAATAGGCAAAAAATGAGATAAATCAAATTATAATTAGGTATTAGCAAACTAATAGTTATTAAAATATTTCAACTAGATAACTTTGAATTTAGTAATACATTAGATTCATCTCATTATTTAACACAAAGTGTTAGACCACCATTAGAAACCTGGAAGCACTTGACGGCCGTTTCGTCCTGGTATGGGACTCATCTGCAGTGCACATCCACGACTCCTGCACGCCGCAGGATTAGAACCCATGTGTTCATTATTTACTAGCTTGGTGAGGAATCTTCTCCGAGTTCTAGTGGGAAGTCCTGACCAGTGAAGTTCAAACCTGTTCGGATGTATACAGTGTATGAGGTCGCGCAACTCCATGAATTTGATCAAGTTAGACATTAACACCGTTAGATACCGGCTCAGTGGTCTAACGGCTATGGCGTTCGCGCACAATACCGAAGGTGATCACTTTTCAAATCGCAGGACAGAGTTGTGTAGGAATAATTGATTTTATCTATTTAGCATTTGCATCAAGTGATTTTATTTTACAAGAACGGGACAAAAACCCTAGGTCCTACACACATTTATCCTGGTTCAAGATCAAACTTAATCATAGAGTGAACTCAGGCTGAGTTCTGGAAATTCTTTCCCGTACTGAAATTTTTAGTGTAAAATAAATCTTTACTGAATTAATTTTTTATTGGCAACTTATTACGTGTTTACTTTTTACACTTATTTCTTTCCACATCATTTGAATATTTAAAAAAGGATTCTTATCATATATATGATCAAAGTTATGTTGTTTAGTCAAGAACGTTTATACAAATTCCGTTCCATAAATTTGCTAATAATCAGCAATAATTATATTGATTTGTTGGCATGACTAACTTGACCGTGATGCTTTCTGATTATAAATTAAATTACGAAATAAATATATCGGTATTAATGAATCTATCTCCTGGTTATTCACTCGAAAACAATTTAATAAAAGTGAGAAAAGTAGTTGATCAGTTAATCAATAACGAACGATAAATAAAAATTATCATTAATTTTCTAGAAAATTAATCTTGTTTAGTTGAAAATATGAAATAGTACTGCAACACTGTTTTATTGAATTTATTTTTTATGCACAGAATTTGATCACCAGTAAAATTTTAACTACTAAGAATGAGTTATATTTAAAGTTTTGATGACTTGAATAAAAGTAAGAATATGTACTTATCAAAGTAACGATCCATAGAATCCCATAAAAAAATGATTCTTAAGAGTTTTATTTACATAAAACAGACAAGGCGAATAAAATGTCAACTATGTTCTCTTTATTTCAACTTATATTAAATGGATGGAAAACATTTTATTGAAAGTAATAAGGTAATGAACTAGTCTGACAGAAGAAAAGCTAAGGAAAAATTCACTTCAAATAAAAATTCTTTAGTGATATAAGACAGCAATAGTCGAAGAATAGAGACGTAAAAAATTATGGCCAACTCACTGATGAGTTAAATTTTTTAACAATGATCCATCTTCAATTATTTGTAATTTCAGTCAAATAATATTTTTTTTTATTAGAATACGTATAAAATAGCAATATCAGGATAAGATTTTTAAGAGCAGATTTTTTTCAAACAACAAAAGTTTATCTCTTAATAGTGCTCGAAATGAATGCATCTTGTTCGTCCTCACAAAACTGTTAAAATCATTCTGGAGTAGTTTAGTCATAATTTCATTCAAAAAATCTGCTAAAACTGCTCTGAGTATTTGCCAGTGGAAATTGAGTATAAGATTCAATGTTAAATGGATGTGAAGAGTCCTCTTAAATGATCAAACTGACACTGAAAATTCAACAAATATCATATAATAAACAACACAGCCTATATATTAATACAAGTAAGATAGTTAGTCTAAAGATATTAAACAAAAAAAGACCGCACTGATTATTTCATGTAATATGCTACTAATTTTACTCATATTACCTTTCAGTTAATGTACTGAAAATGACAAAATCTATAGAATACTTTTCTAACACTAAATGAGTAAAGCGTGACTAGAATGTATCAATATAGAAAACACAATTTAAATATAGAAACATTTTCTGATTACTTTCTTCTAGATATTGAGATGAATCTGGTATCATAGAAAGCCAAAACATTTGTCAACTCGATGGGAAACTGCTGTCTCAATGAATGTCTAATGACAGATTCATTCGCTGTACACCATAGGGCAATAATATTCGATTTCATAGCATAAAGATAAATCTGGATTATAAATTACGAAATCATGCTGTGACCAAACTAATAAACTCTCTTTATATGAACAGTCATTATTTGCTATTAGAACTATGGCATCTTTTTTGCATAGTTTATTGTTTAACTTAACAGTTCA